TCTCAGTGCTTGTGCTCAAGAAACATTTTACTTACTACAGGCCCCAAAGTGCAAGAGCAGTGATGCTGACAATTGGGAGACACCAAAAAGAAGCTGTAAAGTGCTTTCTTGAAGTGAAAAGTGAAAAGGTCTCAGCTTAGTATACTGAGGTTCCTAAGATCTAGGATAACAATGAAAATTCTATCAGTGAAATTAAGAAGGTAAAAGAAATTTGTGCTAATCTGCTAAGAGAGACTACATTCACATAACTTATATTGTTACAATTGTCCTACTTTATTATTTGTTACTGTTGTTAATCTATTACTGTGCCTAATTTATAAATTAAATTTTTTCATAGGTATGTATAGGGGAAAAAAATAGTATATATAGTGTTCAATACTGTGAAAGAAAAGAGCCACAAGCTAACCTGACAAGCTCAGGGAAGGCCTGTGTGGCGGTCTTGCAAACCCAGAGACCTAAGATAACCACAAGAGATGGTTTGAAAATTAAATATCTAACAGGTTATAGTAGTAGTCATGTCCCAGAGATTTCACCTGACAAAGATCAACTTTGATCTTTTACTGAGCCTCTCTGCCTTCCTGCATCTAAGATAACATATCTGCGAGATGTCTGGGTAACTTGTAACTTCCTTTTACTCCGGACCCCTCAGGGCACAACAAATGGCCTGGAGACATTCCTCATTGTTATTGTTATCAAGTTAATTGTCAACTGTTAATTACGTTAGAGTATCCTGTATCCATCTCTGTGAAAGAAGCTCTTGTCCATCATTTAACCTTTTACCCTATCCCAGAGGTTTCCCCGCTTCGCTAGGTCCCACCTCCCTAATCTATCACCAATGAATTTCATGTAACTCACCTATGTCCCTTTCCTTTGATTGCAATGTATAAATATAGAAATGTAACCTGCCATTCTCCAGAGCATTATCTCAATCCGTTGAGGTTCTGCTTCCCGGCACCTGTCGACAATTTTGGCTCAAATAAACTCACAAAAAAATTCTTTACAGGTTTCAATGTTTTTTCGTTAACAATACTATCTGTGGTTTCAAGCACTCACTGGGAATCTTGGAAAATATCCTCTGTGGATAAAGGGGGAATACTGTTTATTAATCCATAATTCCAGGAAGTTGTTTTTAAAAGTAGCTGCTGAATCACTTTAGTCATACTTCATAAGCTGGCAGGTCCTTAACTTTAATTAACTATGAGACTTTGAAAACTGTTTTATTATATGCACCACCATCATCGCCCCCCCTCCCCCCCCAAAAAAATAACAATATTGAAGGGGACCCAAGTTTTGTCACCTCAAAATGTACCTTTTGGGATATTGATTTTAAGCTGATTATGAAGAAACAAAGACACTAAAAGAACCTTTGATCCTACTCATTTCTTGCCTAAAGTAAGTCAGATAGAAAGTCCTGCTTCAAGAAAAGAATCTTTACAAACATGCTTTAGCATTTTCACCTTAGCATAATACGATTTAAATATGGTAGACATACAAAAACCTGTTCTGCTGGATTCTCCCCTCAGTTCCATTGTTTTTGGGTTGTCTGCTAGGAATTTGTTTGCCATGTGTTACAATCTTTCTTAGCTACCTATGAACTGCCTATTTCCCCTCTAAATATCAGACTCATGCCCCTTTCTCCTTTGTCCAAAATGGCATATAAACTTCAACTGCTGAATGCCTCTTTGGGTCACACTATGACACCCAGAATACACATTTGTTTAACAAACTTTGAACATTGTGTCCTGTTATTCTGTCTCTGTTAATTTGATTATTGTCCAGCTAGAAGAATTTAGAAGATGTGAGGAAAAATTATTTTTACAGTCCCACAATACTTTCCTATCTTATTTATGTCACAACAAATAGTAATATGTACAGTATAACTCTTCATATTTCTCTGTATAGAGTAGCACTTTATATTAGCATGAACGTAAAATAAATTATATGAATTTAACCTGTAACTAAAGGTATCTATCCTACAGCTGGTATTAGAACTAAAGATTCCATGCTATCTAAAACAATGTAATATTTTAAGTCATTTCAGCTTTTTTGGCAATGGGACACACTTTTATTTCAAAAGTCATAAAAGGAGATAATAGAAAGGATCCATTAATTTTGTCTGCCTAGAATGCCTCATTGTTTCCAACCACATGTTCTTGGAGCTGCCACTCATAATATCAATACTCTCTCTACTTCCTGGCCAGTGGGGTGGACACATAGGAAGACAAGCCTAGCTCTCTTGAAAATATTTAGGGTAGATTAGCGGACAGTCACTATAACTACATCCAGTTGCAGGAAGATGTTAATCTGTTACACTCCTCACTATGTGGAAGAATCTAGAAATACAGAGCAAAGAAGAAAGCTTTGCAGTGTTCATGTCCCTTGTTCTAGTAATTTCTAAGCCTCTGCTCTTCTTGTTGTATTAATATATAAGAGAATAAATTTCCTCTTAAGCTTCACCTTGTTTAAATTAGATGTCTGTGCCTTGTACCTAGAGAGATCCCTAATACCAAAAGCTACATCTAAAGTAAAATGATCTACAATTGCTAGAATGGAATGTATGATCACTATGGAGTAGAATGATAATGACATAATGGGCAGGATCAAATCATACATATGACACTGGAGGTAAAATATTTTACTGAGAAAATGCCAAGAATAGAAGCTTTCTTGGATATTGACAATAATACCCCAATATGCATTATTATAAACAAAGGCACACATTCTGTAATTTCCAAATTTTCATTCTCATAATTTACTTACTTTTAGCACATAATCATGAAATTATGGCAATAAATAATCTACAAAAGTCATCTAAGTCCATTTCACCAGCAATGCTTTCATAACAGAAAAAGATAACATATAAGAACAGAATTAATTTTCATATGTAGCACAAGGACTGTTCACAGGATGAGGAACATTTTCTGTTTTAAATTACTAATCTGAATGCAGACTCAGGCCAACAATAATTGAAAATGTGAGAGAAGAATTTCGACACTGCAATAACACAGAGCATAAAATAACAATTAAATTCAGGAATTGTGGCTCAGTTCTAAAAGTCCATACTATCAGACCATAACAGTAAACCTATTTTACAATAAATTTTATCCTTACTTAGATATGTATGTAAACATTTCTTTATAGCATGAGGTCCAGAACACTTTCTTAAACTAAATTCTATACACATGTGGAGCAATAAAGGTGAAAGTACTCACAAATAATTAATCTTGAAAGCATATGCATAAAAAATGACATTACTTCCTTACTTGTAATTAATCAACACTTAATGATACTTTATTGCATAACACAGCATTTTTTCCAGCTTGATTCTGCTGTCTTTATCTTTTTATTCAGAATAACTAGGCAAAAGGTGGTCTAATCATAAGTTAACTTTGTATTGATTACTTGGTATTTATTGCATGATAATTTAACACATTCTAGAGTCAATCATAATATTCATCAACTAAGAATGTACTTAGACCCTTCTTACTATATATAGCATTCTTACATTACCCTCTTTCACAATTAATATTAAGCATCAAAGGAGTGTCAGTCTTAAAGTAAGAAAACGCCAAGAAGAAATGAAGATTTACTAGGGACTGAGCTTGACAGTATGGTAAATGATTCCATAATTCAAACCAACAGAACTGATAAAAGCATAAGAATAGAGGCTATGACAATAGATAAAAATATAATAAAAAGACTTTGAGAAAAACAGGATTATATTCCAATATGTCAATCACACTTTGGTATTTTACATCACCACTAAGACTGAGATTTTTTTTGTATGCTTGGGGGGAAATCCAAGTAAAAACACACAAGTTTATAGAGGGGGGAGATATAGATTTAAGAGTGGAATCAGAGAACTGGAGACCAGTTAGACAAAAATCATTAATTCAGCTAAGATTTATTGAGTGCTTGATATGTGTCAAACCCTGTATGAGACACACAGGATGCAACAAGGAACATATCAGCAAAAAATCCTGGTGTCATGATGCTTACATTCTAATGGCTATAAGAATAGCCATTTAAAATAAGTCATTAAAAAAAAAAAAAAAGGAGTAGGAGTAGGAGTAGGGTGCAGTGCCTTCCCACTTCCCAAGGACACAACCACTTAGTATAAACTCAGGTTGCAATTTACATCTCTAGGCCTATTCCAGAAACTTTTCCGTACATGATAGTGTCAATGAGAGGAAAAAGAAATTTTAATGAAGAACGTAAATAATAGAAAAACCAATCTTAATGTCTACTTACTGGATTATAGAACTGTCAGCCAAAATGGAAAGAATTTAATCCAAACAGAAACTGCATCATATTTTAGAAAATACTTATGCTAAAGGCACTCTGTATGAGACTCTAAAGATGCACTTAATGAGCTAATAGATACTTTATCTTCTCTAATATCTGAAATTCCCAGAATACTTTTATTCAGAGGACTATTTAATATGAACTAGTGGTTACAGTTCATATTCTAGCACAAAAAAATCTCTCAATATAATGCCACTACCTCAATTTGTAAGTATTTTTTGCCTGACTTGAAAGAAAGGCTAGCAACTACATTAGCTAACAGGCTTAACTACATGATTATCCCCAGTAGGTAAAGGAAACGGCTAAGGTATTAGGAGTTTGCACTTAATACTATAAAAGGCAGTATTAAGGTAACATGCTTCTAATATTCTGCTTGTCACAAGGAATCTAACACTAGCTTTTTCAAATGGCTAAACATCTATTTCACGTTTCTAGGCTATTAAGCAGATTAAAATAATAAGCAGAGTAATTTTATGTTCAAACTTAATGTCAGACTTCAAAGTTAAAAACAGAAATTGTAAAAGAGAAAACTGATAGATTTGAAAATTCTCCAAAAAAATTACCACAAGATTATTAAAAAAAAATTCTTTCAATCTACAAATGTCTGCTATCTTTTTAAAAATAATAATCACAATGATTTGTAACTTTATTGAAAACAATTGACTAGACAAAAATTAAGAGGACTAGATACTTACACTACTGGGAGGGAATTGAGCATACTTTACATGAGGTGAAGTAATATCCTTTCTAGAGATGATCAGCGCTATTTACCATTCTGTAAATAAAGACAGAAAATCCAGAATTAGTTGTTAATCAAGTATTGAATTAAAATTTTAATTATATAACTCAAGGATATGAACAATTAACATCAGTTAATCATGTCTTTAAAATTATTTTGAAATAAGACATTGGTTTAAAGCAAAAATTTAAAAATAGAAAAATACTAGTGATCGTTTTCAAAATTATTCACTTGGAAAAAGTATTGAGCCTGGCACCCATAGCTCAGTGGTTAAGCATCGACATATGCCCAGTTGTGGGCTTGATCCCATGTGGGGTGTGCTAGAGGCAGCCAATAAATTCTTCTCCCTCATCATTGGTGTTTCTATCTCTCCCTCTCCCTTCCTCTTTGAAATCAATAAAAATATGTGTGGTTTTTTTTCTAGAAAATATAATGAAAATCAAACCCTAGTGTTTTCTTCTGTTACCAGACACCATCTAATATACAATAGTGACATTCAAGATAACTCTTTGATAATAACATCAGTACATTTACATAGAGTCCTTTAAACAAAATCATTCCACAGCATGATTGTAGCTAAAGGTCTTAACTGTGTGGTAGATTCTATATTTAAATAAAATATATTACTTATTTTACTGCTAGCCAAATGTTGAGTGACTTTATTTCTCTAAGTCTCAATTTCCTCATCAATCAAACAGGTATAATAGACAACTAATTCAACAAACTACACAAAGTTAAAACATTTTAACATCAACACAAATAGTGGTGATGAAGTACTTCACAAACTATCGAGTAGCAGGGGCTATTACCACCAACTTTAAAAACGATGAATACCTACTGTATACTGCATTTAGGTTACAGAATACAGTATACATTAATAATGGAAGGACTGAGTCTAGTACTTTCATTTTCTGATTAGCATTCTACTACTTCATTCTCCATTTCAGACACTTTGACCCCTTTCAATTCAGACATAGATCTTAACAAAAAATGAAATCTACTATTCATGGTTTAGGAGCTAAAGATCATGTATTACTGCCTGAACATATTAGCAGTTTCAAACCACAATCTATAGAGGCAAATATTTCCATTAACTCAAAGTTAAGATTATAAATTAGACGAAAGTTAAAAATGTTGATGTCAAAAACTCGCACATTAAAATACACATTCAGCACTGAACTATATTAAGTGAGATCAAAATGTCTAACAGTGACTAATGATATATGCAAAATGTTCCAAGTGAAGTTAGAAACCTTTCACATTTGGCTATCTTAAATTGTAGCTTTAATGAAGTTCCTGCTGTACTTCATTTTCTTGCTGACTTAAAAAATACCTGTCCTAAAAAAGTAGATACATAATACAAAGAAATCTACTGAAAATGTTACTGATTGCATTTCCTATACCAGTGGTTTGCCGCTCTGTTGACTAATGAGTTTGCCGAACACTGCGTAAGGCTTTACCCTTACCCCACTTGTTTGACTTGAGGTTAAAGACATTAGTACATTATTAAAATGTTTTTAAGTGTTTTTCCCTAGCAGTGGTTGGCAAACTCATTAGTCAACAGAGCGGCAAAACACGGCTTGCAAGCCGCAGTTTGCTGACCACTGTCCTAGACAAAACAGCAACACCAAGCCACAAAACTGGTTACTGGTCAATACACAGTTTTCACTCTTGCTCAAATTCAGTTAAAATATACTTAAGTAGCTAGGTAGGCTGGCATTGGTATAAGGTCATCAGTAAGATATGATCCCAGCAGTATAGGGGCTTATTAACCTATGGGGGAGGGTAAAATAAAAAACACACATACCTATAATATCCTATATACAATAATAAAACCCTAATATTCAAATCGACAGAACGGCAGAACAACTGGTTGTTATGACACACACTGACCACCAGGGTGCAGATGCCCAAAGCAGGAGCTGCCCCCGGGTGGTCAGTGTGCTCCCGTAGGGGGAGCACTGCTCAGCTAGAAACTGAGCTCATTGCTGGAAAAGGCAGCGGCCTTGGTGGGAGCCTCTCCTGCCTCCATGGCAGGTGGACATCCCCCGAGGGGTTCTAGGCCAGGCTGAGGAACGTGCTCCCCCAGTGCTCGAGTGTTGTGTACGAGGCCTCTAAGAGTGAGTGTGTGTGTGTGTGTGTGTGTGTGTATGCCTAATTGACCATTAAGACTGAACAACTGGTTGCTATGACACACACTGACCACCAGGGGGCAGACACTCAATGCAGGAGCTGCCCCTTGGTGTTCAGTGGGCTTCCACATCGCAGCTGTGGTGGTGGCAGGAGCAGTGGGGCTAGGGTGAGGAGCAGCACCTGGCCCCAGCTTGGGCTCCTCCCTGGCTGCCTTCCACTTAATGCATTGATACATCCCTCATACCCCATAAACCTGCAGTTACAATCTCTGGAGAACAGTTGAAGTGCTGACACTCAGAGTAACCAGGATGAGCCTAATATAGCTGCTGGGCTCCTGGAATTCTGCCTTGGACACCACGATCAAATCTCATCTCTTACCGATTGTCCCTGAGCTATAGAGGAAGGCAGTTGCCACAAGGTAGCAACTGACAATCGAGGTAAAAGTCAGAGAGATGGATCTGAAGGATGGGGGTGAGGGCAACAGAGCACCCTCGGCCACCAAGATCCCCAACTTTGTATTGTTCACCTCAGAACATCTCTTATCTGGCTTCAAGCAGTAGAAAGCATTCAGCAAGGCCCAAGGTGTCTACTAGCTGGCAAGGCACAACCTTGGCTGCAGAAGGGACATTTGGAAATACTTCTTCAGGAAGTTACGGGGAGGAGAACAGACTCCCCACGTGACTTCCTGGTGGCTCATGGGAACGTGGAAACTCCCCAGGCACGCTGGTGCGGCTCCCAGCCTGCATGCCCCTGATTTCCCTTCAATGTGCACAAATCTGTGCACCAGGTCACTAATAACAGGCATAATGTGAATACACTAAAAATACAAAGTTTATGAGAATAACAAGTTAGAAATTAATTTATGTTATAAAGAACTGGGAAAACTCAGAATGAGATCTCAGCTGTTATCTACAGAATAAGATTTGCACCAAAGCAAGGTGAAGGGAGGTGAGAATCATTGGAGGAAAATTCCAGAGCAAAAGAACAGTTAAACAAGATTATGAGATGTTTATAAAACAGAGCAAACTAAATACCATAAATTAAAGATAATTAAAAATCTACTACAGAAACAGACATCAAGACCAGCTGGGTTCTCAGCAGATTCTTAATCTTTCAAGAACATAATTCAAATAGTACTGAATCATAGAAAAAGACAGAAAAATGTTCCAATTCATTCTATGAAGTCAGAATAACTCAATACCAAATCTAATAAAGGTAGTTAGTATACAAAACATACTATAAAACAATTTCACTTAAAAGTTAAATGTAGAAATTCTAAGTAAAAAATCAAATTAGACAATGAAGTCCAGCCACATAACCAAAAAAAATTATGTTGATGTAATTTATTGCTGAAATGGAAGAGTGGTTTAACATAAGCCAATATACCAACATATTAAGGAGGAAAAAAAAATCCTGTGATTAATATCAGGTGCTAAAAAGGCATCTGGTAAAATTCAGCAACTATTTTTAAAATATATATTTTATTGATTTTTTTACAGAGAGGAAGAAAGAGGGATAGAGAGTTAGAAACATCAATCAGTTGCCTCTTGCACACCCCCCACTGGGGATGTGCCCGCAACCAAGGTACATGCCCTTGACCGGAATCGAACCTGGGACCCTTTAGTCTGCAGGCCGACGCTCTATCCACTGAACCAAACCGGTTTCGGCTCAGCAACTATTTTCAATAAAAACTCTATAGAAAGCAATAGAAAAAAATTAAACATTTTTTTTTGAAAAAAGAACAATAGCAAGTACCCTGAAAAGCAAAACACACTAAAACTATTTCAAATAAAATTAAGATTACACACACACACACACACAATCTATATCTATCTATCTATCTATCTATCTATCTATGTAGAGAGAGAGAGAAATGTGCATGTAGATTTTTTCTATTAATATATGGAAATTTTGTGATCTATGGAAGAGATCCAACAAGAGTGGTTAGGCTGAAAACAGGGTACAAAATGGACATATAGGGGCGGGATAGGAAGGAGACTGTTCACAGGAAAGTTTCAAAATTATTTTAACCACATAAATGTTATTAATTATTTAACAAATCAAATGAATAAAGTTAGGAATTAGAGCAGGAAGCCCACTAAGCCCTTTATAATTCAACACTGACTTAAAGACTATAGTACACACAAGCACTGGAATGAAAGAGAAAAAATTACCTTTAGCTAATGATCTGATGGGATACATAGAAAACGCAAACAATTCTAGTAAAAGAAAACTAAAATCAAAACAATAAACTGAGGTATGATGTAATACACTTAAAATTTATAAAAATTTCCCCTAGTTTAGCAGGAAACACCTAGAAGAATAATTCATTCACAGTATTAACTTTTCCCCATATGTATGTATGTGTGTGTGTGTGTATGTGTGTGTGTGTGTGTGTGTGTGTGTGTGTGTATATATATATATATATATATATATATATCACTATATTGAGAAATAACCCCAATGGATTTTAAAATTTCAATATAAGATCTTAAAGCTATAAAGAAGAAAGTCCAAGAACCACCAAAAACTGAAAAGGAGAAAAGCAAAAGTGGACTTCATTGACCAGATACTGAAATATATTAAAATCAATATGACACATGCATAGGAATAGACACATAGATAAGTGGAACAGAATAAATAACTTAAATATACAGGGTGGGTCAAAAGTAGGTTTATAGTTGTCATATGTAAAATACAATCATTAATAAATAATAATACAAGGATAAACTGTTATGTGTACTCACAACTGTAAACCTATTTTTGCCCCACCCTGTATATTCCAGCACATATGAGAAAATGTACAAGTCAAAGGTTGAATTTTATTTCAGCAGAAAAAAATAATTTTTCTTAAATGATCATCACAAAACTAATTATTATGTTGCAAAAAATTAGATTTAAAA